GCACAGTCAAACCCAAGGGGAGCATAAGCAAGCACTCTTCAAACAAGCTACATTCCTGGCCCTCGCTGTTCTTTCTTTTCCTTTGTAGGTCACACTTTGGTGTGTTACAACTTTTCTCTTTCTTCTATCTCCTTGTGTGCTACAACTTTCTCATAGTTTCACGTCTCTTAACATATCCCAATGCTGCATTTGTTGTTTTGTTTTTCCATGCTGTGTAATGACAGCCTTGTGCATACAAAGCATTCACTCCACCACTGAACTATATTCCTAGCCCTTTTTAAAAATTTTGCAAGAGTCTTGCTAAGTTGTATAGGTTGACCTTAAGCTTGCAATCTTCCTGTAGTCTCTTGAGTAGTTGGGATCACAGACATGTGCTATCACACCCAATTTAGGGATTCTTAAATTGTGGTCTCCAGACCAGCAGTGTCAGCCTTGAACTTGTTAAAAATGCATATTTTCTGTAGGTTATAGTGTAAAGCAGTCTCTGAGTCACAAGTTCTGTGAGACCAAGGAATCTGTTTGAGAGGTCCAAATGCTGCAATGAACACTAAAGAGAACCTGTGATTCATTACATTTACAAAGGCCTGATCTAATAATACTCAGGTTTGTGATTTATGTTTATATGGTACTGAGTTGGTTACCAATATTTGTATAATATATAATATTTGATAGGGATTTAAGATGTCAGGTTTTTTTTGTGTGTGTACCGGGCATCGAACTTGGGTCCTTGCGCCTGCACTTGCACAGCAGGCGGCAAAACCACTGAGCTAAATCCCCTGCCCAAGATTTGTCAGATTTAAGAAGTGGTATTTCCATTTTGGGAGGGGTAGAGGACAATACAATCAATATAGTTTTTTGTTTTGTTTTGTTTTGTTTTTGAGGCAGGGTCTCACTATGTAGTTCAGGCTGGCCCTGAACTCACAGCAATCCTCTTGCCTCAGTCCCCCGAGGGCTGGTATTACAGGCATTCGCTACTACACCCAGTGATCAATACAGTTTTAAAAAATGGGTTTCCAGGGGCTGGGCATTTAGCTCAGTGGTACTGGTGCCTGCCTGGCAAGTGCAAGGTCCTGAGTTCCCTGGTACCAGGGAAAAAAAGGGTTTCCATAAGGGTGCAAGTATTGCTGGCTGTAGCAGAGAACAATTTAATGCTAGAGATATGCTTTTTAATTAGCTCAGTCAATTGAAAGTTCATGATCTTAGAATAGCTAACACTGAGCAAAACAGGGACTTGATGTTTTTTAAAATGATATTCTGTCAGTGGGAGCTGGCCTGATTTTTGTGGAGAGACATTTTAGAAAGGAAACTAATTTTTATTAGATATTTGCTATGTTCCAGGCATCACTGGAAGTGTCTTTACTGGTTGTTTCAGTCCTCAAAACTCTATGGAATAGATGTGCCTCGCTAAACTAATAAAATTGAAGCCCAGAAATAAATGATAGTGTAGTTCTTGATTTTATAAATTTACTTGGTCACTACATTTTTAGGGCCAGAAGATGGCTAAGAACTTATTTCCATTATTTTTACAAATGAAAACGGTGAAAAGTCAAGTGATTTGATCAGTACAGTGCTGCATAGGTGGTTCTAAAACATGTATGTTTAACTTAAAATATATATAAAGTATAAAAATTCAGAGTCTGGAATCCTTAGGTTGCAAGACTATCCGTTCACCAACAAATAAATAATTGGCACTGTTTGCAGTTGGGGCACTGCATTCCATTATTCACATGGTCTACTGTAAGATATAGTATATATATGTGACTTGTCACATCAGCAGATTGGGCAAGAATTATCGCAAAATGAATATTTTGTATAAATTATCACAATGTCTTTACTCTTATTCCTAGGTTCAGAAAAAAAACCTAGAATTCTTTAAAGCAACATATGAATTTCATTAAGTTGAAATCATATTTAATTGGATAATTTAATTGTGAGTCCTCTGTAACAATCAATTACTTGAAACTATACAGTGAAACATACAAATCATTCTAACAGAAGCATCACCGTGAACTTTTAAATGGTGGTCAGTAAAACTAGTATGTACAGTAAAACTACATGTACAGTCTGCACATGTAGACTTATGGTTGAAGTTTCCAGAGCTGAGAAGTGGAAAGTTAGCAACAAGAAAGGGACCATGAACTGCCCATCTTTGAGAAGATTGCCAGTCCTACCTTTACATTGCTACACAAAGGGACCTATAATCATTGTCTTACACTCATGCAAATATCCCAGTTCTTTCATAAGATCAGATAAAATGCTTATGTCCATTAATATACAGCTTCAACACCAGTGAGAACTTCTCTGCTACTTGTACTACATGATTAACACCTGTAAAGTGTTTCAACTAGAATCCCTGCAAAACATTGGTTTTCATTCGATTGCTTCAGTAGTGGTGGCAAGTCCCACTTCCTTGTGTTTGAGATGTTCACAGGGTGACCCGAGAACTGACCAAAGGCCCGGAGAGAAGGTCATACAATGGCCTGGGTTATCAGGTTGCCCAGAACTCTATGAATGTAGGAAGAGGCAAAGGCTCTGCTTCAGTAGTTCCCAAATCTGGCTATTTGTCAGTCACTGAAGAGCATTTTAAAAAGTGCAAGTTCTGAGGCCACACCCTGAAGGTAATATATTAATGATTTCTTGAGTATTAAATTTACTGAACACACATCTATTGAGCACTAACAGTACACCAGGCCCTTCACTAGTCCCATATACAACTTAGTTCCCTGAATTCTTATAATGTCCGTTAGGTAGATACTGTTGTGCCAGATGGTGTATGGGAGACTGGTGATGTGGATGGTAAAAAAATTTACCAACAATCAAGGAATATAGAGAAAACAAGGTCAGAGTGCACTGCCAAGAGGACGCAGCAGGGCCTGGGATTTAGCTCAGTGGTTTTGCCTCCCGCCTCCCAAGCGCAAGGTCCTGAGTTTGATCTCCGGTGCCAAAACCCCCCCCCCAAAAACGAGGAATCATGCAGTCAGGATAATTGAGGTTTTTGTAAGGGGTAACATGTGGGAAAAGGGATCTGGACAGCAAATCAAGAAATCTCAGGAATGTTTTTTCTGGGTTGCCCAGTTTCTGCTGATCCTTCAGGAACATCATCACTGTCTCTAAAGTTGCACACAAAAGTTGCAAACTGTCAAGGCCTTGTGTTTAGGCTTCACAAAAGACCCTTCAGACTCAGATAAGGATATCTGTATGCATTAACTTTTTGTTGGGAGAAAGATGGGTCATTAGACCAGTGGAAGGAAAGAACAATTCTTATATTTACCTTTATCTTGTGCTGTTTCTAGTATCAGTGCAGTGCTTCATAACTGCCCACATGATAGGCAGGACTGTGTTAGCAGAGAAACATGGGTGCCAGAACTTTAAACTTTAAACTCTTCTGTCACCACAGATACCACCCTTTAAGATTGGCTTAAAGATGGACTGGGGATTTAGCTCAGTGGTGCCACTGCCTGCCTCGAAAGCACAAGGTCCTGAGTTTGATCTCCGTACCAAAAAAAAAAAAAAAAAAAAAAGATTGGCTTAAAGAGAGATTATCCTTGAAGGCCATATAACTTCTGCTCAGGGCAAGCAGAGCACAGTGGCTTTAGGGAGGGCAGGGGCACATGGGTAGGGGTGGTAGAGGCGTTGAGCAACCTCACCAGTGAGAGTCAAGCTGTTCACTGACTGCTCCAAGGGGGCTGGAACCAGACGTAATACTTCTGACTTGTAGTGATTCCCAATGGACTAGTGCCCAGCTGTCCACATGAGAAACACTGGGAAGCCAAGTGTAGTGGTTGAGTATAATCCCAGCCTTTGAGAGGCTGAGGCACTGTGGCAAGATCACCACAAGTTCGAGGCCAGCCTGAACTATACAGCAAAAGAAGAAAAAAAGAACAAAAACCCAAACCAAACGCAACACCACAAGGCAGAGCATTAAATGAACACAAGAACCCTTGGGCTATAACTAGAGATTCCCACACCTACAAACTCTGACTCAGTAGGTCAAGGACAGGGTTCAGCAGTCTGTATTTTAAAAGCTCCCCAAGTGATGTGTGAGTTTGAGAACCTTATATTAAGGAGCAGCTGATAAAGTAGATCTCTGATGATGTCACATGGGTCAACCACCACAGAGACTGTAACCCAAGTCCTTGATTTTTTTTGGGTTTTTTGGTACCGGGGATTGAACTCGGGACCTTGTGCTTGTGAGGCAGCCGGCAGAACCACTGAGCTAAATCCCAAGCCCCCAAGCCCTTGATTTTTATATGGCTGGTGTGGCTGAGAGCCACGGATTATATTTATGTCATAGAAAAGCACCCAAAGTATATAAACCCTTGCTGAATGCTATGAATAAACAATTAAACATTACACTAAATTGTTTTTTCTCTTGCATTACTGCTACTTGGTTAATTTCTTATGGTACTTATAAATAACATAATTCTAGGGGCCGGGGATTTAGCTCAGTGGTTCCACCACTTGCCTTGCAAGTGTAAGGTCCTGAGTTTGATCCCTGGTACCAAAAAATTTTTTTTTAATTATAAAAAGAACATAATTCTATTACGTATGTTTTAGAATTCAAAGACCATTAGGTACACTGCTAAACTAAAAACTTCTCTTTTTTTTGTGGCTGTGAGTAAAAAAAAAAAAAAGATTAGTAAGTAACACAAATAACAGGAGAGTCTATTTGTCTCTTGTAGTAAGAAGTCCAGAAACAGGCAGGTGTGGTTGGTATCAGTCCCATAGCTCGGGAGGGTGGAGTTGATATCTCAGCAATCCCCTTGGCCTTTCCTTTGTGGTCACAAGGTAACAGGTGCAGCTCCAGCCAGCCTGCATTCAAGATTGGATGAAGGGGAAGGGACAGGTGTTCTATTCCCCAGACTGCTATCTCATGGCCACCTCTGGCTGCAAAAGAGTCAGGGAAATTGAGTATTTTCCTTTTACAGTCTTCTGGGATTGAGGTAGGAAAGGAAAGAGGGGAGGGATTGGAGTCAAATAAGCCAAACTACAGCGTCAGCCACAGTTTTCAAGTCAAATGTTATTAAGCACTTCTTTAATTAAATCTAGAAGCAGCTAATCAGATGGAAAGTAGTAAATCATCACAGAAAATATTGATATGAAAATCAGGCATAAAGATCTCCACTGTCAGTAATGCTACATATTTGTACTGGTCTTTCATTCTCTGTTGGAACTAATTCTAGTTGTTTAAGAACTTCTGTTCCTTCAATCAATTGCCTACATAGGAGAAAGAGCAAAACATAGAGTCAGTCATCAATTTCCATATTTACCTTACATTCCCAAATAGCTGAGGCTGTTACACATTCAATTAACTGCAGTCATAAATGTCTTAAGTCACTCTACATATGTCCCCCTTATTTCAGAGCAGAGTAGGAGTGGAGATGGATGGATGATGATGATAATGGTGATGGTTTCTGGCTTATATTCTGATAAGGAGCATACAATCTAGATCCCTCGCATGTGCAGTTGACAGGTTTTGTGCTATGAGAATCTAATGCTACCAGTGTTCTGATGCTCAGGTGATCATGCAAGCAATACAGATGAAATTTTGTTCATTTTCTTGCTGCTCACCTCCTGCTGTGTGGCCTGGTTACCCCCATGGGTTGGGGACCCCTGCACTAACGGTAGCACAAGGTACATTCCAAGGCTGAAAAGCAAAGGAGAAATGGACAGATGTGCTCTTGTCCGAAGAGGGCATGAAGCCTATTCTCCAAATAGATTTTGCAAATATTGAATAAGTACTCACTATGTGTACCTGTCCACTGTAACAGGTGTCAGGGTATAAGATGTGTGAGATGTAGTCCCTGATTTGAGTTGTTCATAGTGTGCCAGAGACAACAAAGAAATCGTCTGTTTTTGGTAATTAGAAAGGTTTCTGAACTAAATCTAGAACAGTATTTCAGCCAACTGGAGAGAGGCAGAAAGGAACAAGATAAACAAAGCCTAGAGACTGTTCTAGAAGTGACAGCATTATGATCTGGCTGCCATGCAGCTGACTGTCTACAAATTATATCCAAATTTATATCTCTAATTCTGACCCAGCCTGGGATGCTGCCTACTGGCTGTCCTATAGATATCTTTTTTTTTTTTGGTACTGGGGATCGAACTCGGGTCCTTGTGCTTGCGCAGCAGGCGGTGAAACCACTGAGCTAAATCCCTGGCCCTGTCCTATAGATATCTTAATCTGAGATACAACCTGTCCAGCCTGAACTCCTGACCTTCTCTCCCCAATGCTCCTTTTTATTGTCTATTTTGGTGAATGGTACCTAACCGTTCACTTCCCAAGTCCTAAGAGTTGCTATGGACCTGCACTGGCCAGTATAGTAGCCACTAGCCACATGTGACTATTTAAATTTACTTAGAATCAAATAAAATATGGGTTCCTTCATTGTATGAGCCACATTTCAAGAGCTCAGTGGCCATGTGTGGCCAGTGGCTATCATACTGGACAGTATAGATTATAGGACACTTGCATCAGCAAAGAAGATTGTACTGAATAGCACTGATCTGGACTCCTGCCATGTCCTCCCTCTCAACATCTACACCTGTGACTCTAACTTCTCAATACCACTTGTATTTGTCCACTCATCCCAGCTCATCTGTACTGCCAGGGCCCTAGATCAGGACTTCAATTACAGCCTGTTATGACTGAGAGCTTCTTAACTGGATTCTCTTTGTTTTCATGGTTTTTTAATTTCACTCTTCATTTCTGTTAAAAGATCTTTTCAAAATGGGATGCTGGTCATGTTGCCCATGATACAAAGTTCTTTTTTTTTAATTCCATTAAGTTTATTGGTACATTTTAGGTATGCAATACAGTTACATTCATCATTGGGATCTTGTGCCTTTAGATACAAAGTTCTTTTGTGGCTCCCTATCACCTTTGGGAGAGGCCCCCATGGAGCAGCAAGCTGAAACTAGACCAGAAGACTTGTAGACGAGGTTCTCTCTTACTGCTCAAGGCCTTTCTGCAAGTACTCCTTCATTTTTCATTAAATGATTTGACTAAATGTGACTTACATCCTTCTGTGTTACTTTCCCTACTCAGCTTACCTTCTTATGAAGCTTTCTGTGATTCCCTCCCACCTTAAGTCCATCTTAACATGAAATTATTTCCCCAGCGTACACCCATTTCTACCTTATATATATGAAGGGAGAAACATCTTACAAGTTTTAAAATCCTTCCCCTATGAGGCCATGGGCGAAAAGCCATCCTCTATGGAAGGGTATTCCCCAAACCATCCATCTGAAGAAGTGACAGATTCATCTGCCAGAAGCTAGAGCTTAGAAAAAGGGCCTGTCATAGATGAAGAAGAAACTTCTGTATCTCTCTGGATCTTGCTAGCCACATCTGGGCTTCCAGAAGCTGAGATACACATAGGGAAGCTAAGAGATGACAGAGAAGAGGCAGGCAGCACAACTGGATCCCGAAGGAATTATATTTCACCTGGTTTAACTAGATTGTCTGACTATTATCCTATTACCTTTCTGCATCTCCCTTAGTGTTCTGTAATGTCTTAAGTATTCCAGCTCAGCTTCAACTGTGGCTTGGAGATTCAATTGAGACCATTCTTGGGCCAGAGCACTTGAAAGAGTGCAGTGCCTCCCTCAGGCCAGAGTGGTGATGACAGCAAAAATTATATATTTCCTCAAAAAGTGAATCACAGAGACTAGGAATCATGGAAAACAAACCCAAGCACTCTTTCACTCCACTGCCATCCTGTAAGGATCCACATTTGTTTTTACTAAAGAAGGTTTGAGTGTTGTATTACCTTGGCCTCAAACATTCCCAGTGCACACTTTGCTGAGCCTGCATGGCTGATGGCTCACTGTCATATAATTGCTCTGTTTTGTTTTGTTTTAAATCTGTCTTCCCTAATGTATTCTAAGCTCCCTGAAGAGAAAGAGCTGTGCCTCATCTTTCTCTCCCCAGCACTGAGCACCAGGACTGGAAGATTATAGATATCTAAAAAAATTTTGGTTGAATGGATTAGGAAGGTATCAGAAATGGCAGCTGGAAAAAAGATGCAGGGCCAGGAAGTGGGAGACATGGAATGTCACATTAGATTGGGGGCTCTAGATGCCTGCAGGAGAGGGTGGTAACGGAGGCATTATAAGTTTTAGAGCAGTCATGTTTGTGTGTGTTTGGGAAGGGTAACTATAATGATATGAAAAGGTTTACCAAGCTATTGGTAGAAAGGGTAGATTGTCAGCAATAAGACAGAAATAAGATTTAAATGATCTAAGAAAAGATAAGGGTTATTTGGATTTACATTTAATTCAAGAAAGCATTTTCAAAATCAGAATACAGTAAATTTAGTATGAGGGGAAACTGAAGACAATTCATTACTTTAGGTTATGAATTTATGAAGGTAAAGTAACCCTTTAAAGATTACCTTTTGGATAGAAATCTACTTTCTACTTTTTCAACCTGGAAATACCACAGAAACCATTCACTAAAGGAGTTACTGTGGTTAAAATTAACACTGGTGCTGGGTACAGTGGCACATGCCTATAATCCCAGCTACTCAGGAGGCTGAGGCAGGAGGGCTTCAAGTTCAAGGTCAGCCTGATTAATTTAGTGAGACCATGTCTCAAAATAAAAAATAAAAAGGGCTCAGGTTGTAGCTTACTAGTAGAGCACATGAAGCACGAGACCCTAGGTGTAGTTGTTGGCCACACACACACACACACACACACACACACACACACACGTACACACACCCTAATGTGGACATGAAATTCCTTTTTGAGGTGAAGAGTGAATATCCCTATGGAGTGACTGAAGTAATCTGTTACCAGAAAAATCTAACACTTTATATTACTTCAAGGAAGGAAAAGTAAGTTCTATCTCATATTCACTTCAGTAATTAAACAAATATGAAACACTGGAAAGGTAAAAGGTATATCTATCGCTAATCTCAGGGCACATGCCTATAAATATTTGGCTAATAATATTCACATAATAATAACTGTTCGCAAATTCTGTATTTAAAATTGTTCAGTAAAAGAAAGCTATGTGTTAACACTGATAGTTTCCATCAATCTCTGCAGTGTTCATGGGCAATTATCTCTCACTTCTGCATGTAAATACTCCTACGCTGGGAAGCGCTGTAGTATGACTTGTAGTAATTCAGAATTGGTAATGTTCTTGGGGCTAATGATAGATAGAGGGATAGACCGGTACCTGGATAGATAAACACAGCATCACCATGGCTGTGTCTAAATGGTCTCTGCGGTTTTATGCATACTAAGCTAATCTTGCAGAATATTTGTAAATATGGTTGTCTATATTTGTACTACTTTTGTTTTTCTACTCTATCATAGGCTGCTCTGAGACTGTGTGCAATGCCATCCAAACCATTTTGTTTTCTTTTTTTTTGGTACAGGGGATCAAACTTGGGACCTTGCGCTTGTGAGGCCGGCGCTGGAACCACTCATCCAAACCATTTTGAACTTTTTGCGAATGAGGTACACACACACATACAAAGTACATACCCAAATGCCACATATTTCCTATCTAGGTAGGGAGTTGCTTGTAGTGTAATATAGAATTGTGACCCGTTGCTGTGACAGCCTTTGTTGACCATTCCAAGAACTCCTCTTTTATTATGAGGAATTGAAAAGTTTTCATCTAGAAAAGACAATAATCAGTAGATCAATAAAATATTTCTCAACTGATTTTAACAGTGAGGAAGAAATAGGACTTCAGTAATAATCTCAATCACACATTTTTTTTTTTTTTTGGTACCGGGGATCAAACTTGGGTCCTTGTGCTTGCGCAGCAGGCAGAGAAACCACTGAGCTAAATCCCCGGCCCTCAATCACACATATTAATATACTTCAAATTGTAAATATACTATTTTTTCACATTACTTGCAGACGTTCACATGGACTGTGAAAAGACATGTTGTAAAATCTTAGAACTATTTGAGCATTTGGTTCTAGTTTATCTTTACCATAACTAAAAATAAGTGCTAAGAAAATAATGTAAAAATCATATACTCAGCTTACTAATAAATGTCAGAAAAACTTGTTGCTGTTTTGGCCGCAGAATCTCATTCAAACTACCAAAGTAAGCATTAAAAACACTTCTTCTGAATCTTAAACATATACCAATAATTTTAAAAATAAAGGCAATTAAAAAAAAAATTCCCCTGACTGCCACCTGTCTGGCAAGCACAAGGTCCTGAGTTTGATCCCCAGTAACAACAACAACAAAAAAATTCCCCTGAGAAGTGTTTGCTAGGTCTTCCCCTTGCCTAGTAGCATCTTCCATTTAACTCTGACAGTCCTGTTCATGTGGAATCACTGGTTTACATTGTTTCCTCCCTTGTGTGGGAAGGCAGGAACCATGACCCCTATAGATCTTGCTCCAAGCCTCCTAACACATTGACTTGCTTAGTTGTGACCCTACATAATTGATGATAATGAAAATCATTTATGCTTATTGTTACAATCTTCAATAAATTTTACTCTCAAACCTCAAGTAGACTGGCCAAGATTTTGTGGCAAGCAAGTTTTCTTTCAGTGTAAAGTTAACAAGTAAAAAGAATTGTACAGTGGTGATCAAGCTACCATTTTCCAGAAATATCATTTCTGGTGGAAATATCACTTCCAGTTTTTCCCCTAAGTTCAAATGCACGGAAAGAAGTGATGGGTTAGAAATTCAGGAAGAGTTTTTACTTAGCAACTTTATAAAGTTCAGAGAATAATTGAGAAATATGAATACTGTTAATAAGATTTTATTTAACTGCACTTGCTGACTGTTCCTATCATTTTAAGTTTCAAAACAAAGCACACTAAACAGTGAAGCCATATTGGTGGTAGTTACTTTTAGTCTGTTAAATTGTAAGCTGAATAAGGGCCAGGGATTTAGCTCAGTGGTTCCAGTGCCTGCCTCATAAGCACAAGGTTCCAAGTTTGATCCCCGGTACCAAAAAAATTATAAGCTGAATAAAGACCTCTGAAATCCTATAAAATGCAACAAAGACATTTTTTACATCAATGAGTCTATATAATTATATCAATGCTCCATAGTCATTTCAGTGGAATATAGAAATAAATCCATTTATGGAACAGAAATCTGCCCAATGCAAAAATTCAAAGAGTTTTTGAAAAATAGTATTTATCATTGCTATAATATGCTTGATTTTTCTTAAATTCTATAAGCAATAGGAAAGAATCTATAGCATTATAACATTTTTACCAAAAATTCTGTGATTTTGGAAGAACTTTAAAAGTAGTTGTAATATCTATCATAAAATAAATGCTACCTGTATGAGAGTCCATATATAAAATAGATTTTTTGTGTGTGTTACTGGCAATTGAATTCAGGGCTTTTGCACTGAACTATATCCTCAGCCACATCTTATGTTTTATTTTGAGACAGGGTCTCACTAAGTCACTAAGTTACTCAGGCTGGGCTCAAATTTTCAATCTTTTTGCCTCAGCCTCCCAGCATGCTGAGATTACAGGCAGGCGCCATCATACTTGGCTAAAAGTTTTTAAAAAAGGGATACCGTCTGCTCACAGCCTGCAGATACCTCTTCTTCAGGACCCCAGTGGAACTCCTTAGTGGACAATTTGAAAACCACTGATATAGCTGGGGATGGTGGCACATGTCTGTAATCCCAGCACTCAGGAGGCTGAGGCAGAAGAATTGCTGTGAGTTTGAGACCAGCCTGGACTACACTGCAAGACCCTGTCTTTAAAAAAAAAAAAAACAAAAAACCCCCACTGATATAAGGGAACCAAAGAAAGTGTGTTTTTAAAAGTGTAGGTAGTTCTTGATTAAAAATTTCAAATATACAATGTGAAGCAAAAAATGTGATCTTAGGGACCTGAAGCCGTGCTGCTCCCACATGGGCAGTGACAGCAGGGGTGAAGACAGCTGCTCGGTGGTGGACCAAATCAGGCCTTCTGTGGGTCATTCTGAGGGAGCTGATGAAGTACTGTGTAAGAGTGGGGCACGGTGGCGCGTCCCTCAGTCCCAGTACTGGGGAGCTGACTGGGGAGGATCACGTGAACCCATGAATTCAAGTCGAAACTGGGCAACACAGCAAGAAAATAAAAGATGTTTTAATTTTTTTTTGGTACCGGGGATTGAACTCTGGTCCTTGCGCTTGCACAGCAGGCAACAAAACCACTGAGCTAAATCCCCGGCCCTTAAATTAAAAAAAAAAAAAATTATGTATAAAAAAATTCTACTCTAGCTAGCTTTACAGGAGAGAGATCAATGTTCTCTTGTTTTATCTTGTTTCTCAGACTGGTTCTCTGATCTACCTATTTCCCTGTATTTCTTGATTTTACCAACTCCTCTTCTTTCCTTCCACCTCTTTATAGTTCACTAAAAGCTCCCAGGAAGGTCTAAACTTCAACATACATTTTTTTTAAAACTATTGATATAAAGTTCCCTGGCTTTTATCCTGATTATAAATAGCCAATTGTTGGTATATTTATCACTTCAACACTAAATTAAGTTGTTTTTCACTCCTATAACAACAACAAAGGACCCTGTGGCCTCCACAGCATTGCTGAGGGGTCTGAGCCTCCTTAGATTCATCTAAATAGATGTAGCCCAAGCAGAGGGGTTTTTACTCTCTGGTTGGTGAGCACTAAACCACTATGACAGAAAGGCCTGACTTGAGCCTGTTCTCCCTGAATATTTCTGCCAGAGACAGAGAGTAAGTGGGAACCGTCAGACATAACCCAACAGGTGAAATGTGCTTGAGCAGAAAGAGAAGCTATTTATTTATGGCTTTAAAAGTTTTGATTCACAATAAAGCAAAACAGCCTTTCCTCAAGTTAAAATAAATGAACCAGTTTATAGAATAATCTAATTAAATTATATATTATTTAGTTCATTCATTTTAATTCACTGACTTAAACTTAATTAGAATGAGCTTAGCAGTTGTGGTTATCAAGCCCTAAATTTTATTTTATTTTATTGGTTTTTCTGTTTTGTTTTGTTTGAGACAAGGTCTTGCTCTGCAGTTCAGGCTGGCCTTGAACTGACTGCACAGCCCAGGCTGGCCTCGAACTTGCAGCGATCCTCCTGCCCTAGCCTCCCAAGTGTTGGGATTACAAGCATTGCCACCATTCCTGACTTATAAACCCTAAATTTTAGTTCAAGCCCCTTTCTCACTCAACATAACAATTCTATAGGCTTTTATAGAATCACACACGTTTCCTTCTACAAGAGTATTATCATCCAGCTGTGCATCCCTCAGCACTAGAGTTTGGCCATTCCTATTTTAAAAGACATGCCAGGCTGGGGTATAGTTCAGTGGCCAAGCACTTGCTCAGCATGCACAAGGGCCTGGCTTTGATTCCCCTCATCAGATGGGTGTTCTATCCCTGAGGTGGTGCATTCTCTCCACAGAAGCCACAGAATATCTGTCGTCTCTGTTCTTGTAAAATTAGTAGATATTAATGCAGCCAATGCCTATACCTATGATTTCACCATGGGCAGCAACACACATGCTAGTCTTACTATTTCCTTTTTGTTTCTTTCTTTCTTTTTTCTTTTTTTTTTTTTTTTTGTTACCGGGGATCAAACATGGGTCCTTGTGCTTGCGCAGCAGGCGGCAAAACCACTGAGCTATATCCCCAGCCCTTCCTTTTTGTTTATTAATTGGAATACTTTTATAAAGAGATGTTTGTCTTCTACAATTTGGGATGGTTCACATAGGAAAGGCAGGATAAATGCTTGATTCTTTCCCTATATTTATCAGGTTTAAGATAATGAATTATTTTCCTATCATTCCACCAAAGATAGCCAACTAGGTTTTACTTTATTTTATTATTATGAACTCATGGATTTAAAATTGGTTGGGCTCTGATCAATTTAAATTCCTATTCCCCCCCCCTTTTTTTTTTGGTACCGGGGATCAAACTCAGGACCTTGATGCCTGCAAGACAGGCAGCGGCACCACTGAGTTAAGTCCCCAGGTATTCCTTTTGAAGCTCAATTAATCCGTGTTCTGGATTGGACCAGGGTGCCTTCCTCCCATCATTTTAAACTCCCACTTTTACTAAATATTTAACCACAACACCATCTTATTGGAATTGTGAAAAATTCACTCCTCTTAAATTTGAATAATCCACTAATATAGGACAAAATGTAAAGATACATACCTTCAAATGTTGGTCCATAAATAGACTCTCCGTCATTTCCTTTTCCAGCTACTATATCTGAGAAATAAATAAACAGGATTCTGAGGCCAAAAAAGATGAGAGTACCATAGTCATGGGGGAAAGATGCTTTAAATTATGATTCCACTTGTACCCCAATGACTACAGTAAGTCACCTATTTGTTTAATATCCATACTGTGAAAATATTACTATAATAGCTTCAGCTGTATTTTGTCAATAGGTTTTACTTTCATGATTCCATTTTGTCTTCTCTTAGAGGTAGCTTCAATCCTAATGCAAACTTTTGAAATACTGAAGTATTAAATTATCATTGGGGTCACAATTTAAAGTAAGTGTTCACATAGATACTGCTTACTGTACAAGTTATTCTACAGGCTATCTTGCTTTTCAGAAAAACAGAAAGATTAAATTGAGGAAGTGAAATAGGAAGAGTAAGTTCTTTGAATTTGTTTTGTTTTGAGACAGGGTTTTCCTGTGTAGCTCTGGCTGCACTTGAACTCACTGAGCAGCCCAGGGTGGGCCCAAATCTGAGTTCCTCCAGCCTCAGCCTCTCAAGTATTGATATTATAGGCATGTACCACCACACCCAGTAATTAAGTTCTGTTCACAACATGAACAGGTGCTCTAAAAAGAATTCAGGTTCAAGTTTTCATTGTTTATCCTTTCAAAATACCAGATCTTTGATTCATTGATTCTTTGCATTTTAGTTTCATTTTCATTAACTTCTGCTCTGATCTTTATGATTTCCCTCCTTGTACTAGGTTTGGGTTTGGACTGTTCTAGTTTCTTGAGGTGTATCACTAGATTATTCATTTGAGCTCATTCTTTTTTTTTCTAATGTGAGCCTTCACAGCAATAATTTCCCTCTTAGGACTGCTTTCATTGTGTCCCACAGGTTCTGATTTGTTCCACTGGCATCATCATTTGATTCTAGGAATTGTTTCATTTCTTCCTTGATTTCTGTGATCCACTGAGTGTTCAGGAATGTATTATTTAATGTTTGTAAATTTTTTGTGGTTTATTTTATTATTGATTTCTAGCTTTAGTATACTATGATCTGATGGTATACATAGGATGCTTTTGATTCTTTTGTGTTTATTTAAGGAAACTTTGTGAACTACTATGTGGTCTATTTTGGAAAAAGTTCCATGTGCTGCTGAGAATGTAAACCGTTGTAGTAGAGGAGAACAGTCTGTAGATACCCATTGAATTCATTTGTTCAAGATGTGATTCAACTCTGCTATTTCTTTGTTAATTTTTTGTTTGGTTAGTTTTGAAAGTGGGGTATTGAGGTCACCACTATGATCGTGTTGGTGTTTATTTGATTTTTTTATGACCACCTATTTGTTTTATGAAGTTAGGTGCCCCAATATTGAGTGCAAATACATTTACAATTGTTATCTCTTCCTGCCAAATTGTTCCTTTAATATGTAGTGACCTTCTTTTCCTCTTCTGATCACTTTTAGCTTGAAGTTTACTTTATCTTAGAGTAACACTGCTATTCCTGTTTGCTTTCACCATCCTAGTAAATGGAATACTGTTACATATCCTTTGATATGTCATTTATGAATTTCTTTTTGAATTAGATGTATTTATTTAATGCAACAGACTCTTAAGTTTTGCTTTTTGATCCAGTCTGCCAATCTATGTTTTCTAATTGGGGCTTTGAGGATATTTACATCGAGAATTATCACTGAAAGGTACTGACTTATTCCCATCATTATGTTTTTTTTTTCTGTTGTTGACTCCTTTGTTTCCTTTTTTGTTTAACTATTCGCCTTGCTTGATGTATTCATGCCATCTGACTTTTTGGTTTTGTTGGATTCACTGTCTTTGTCTAAAATATTCTGGAGTATTTTCTTTGGAGTCCTAGTTTGGTATTAATGTATCTCTTAACCTGTTCTTTGTTGTGGAATGTTCTTATTTCTCCATCAATTTTGAAAGGTAGTCTGGATTGGAAGTTGTTTTTTTTTAAGGCTTAAAACACTTTATTCTCAAGCTCTCCTAGCCTTTAAACTTTACGTTGAGAAGTCTGGCATATCCTAATTGGTTTTTGCTTTTTTCTGACAGCTTTTAAGATTTTGAATTTTTGTTGGACATCTGGGATTTTAATATGATGTGTTGTGAGAAGCTTCTTTTTTTCATCACTTATTTGGCATCCTGTAAGCTCTATTTACCTGTATGTTGAGTTCTTTCCTCACAGTTGGTAAGTTTTTTGCTATTTCTGTAAACAGATTTTTATTCCATGTGTGCTGTCTTCTAATTTCTCACTACAATTAGCCTTAGGTTACTCTTCTTAGACTTCTTACATCTAGTAGCTGTTGGATAAATTTTTCTTGCTCTCCTATCATTTTTAAAGCTTCTCTGAGCAATTCATCATGGATTACCATGTTGTCCTCAACTTCTGAAACCCTATCCTCACACTAGTTGTTTCTGCCTTTTATGAATTATATGGAATTGTTTTTTGTTTTTGTTTTTTTTTTTTGTACCAGAGATCAAACTCGGGACTTTATGCTTGCAATGGAATTCTTTATCTCTAGGATTTCTGTTTGGAATATTTTTGTGATATTGTTTACCACTTCAACATATTCAATTTAATTGGTTTGAAACCTGTGACCTTGCTGTCACTACATAGGAAGCCATCTTCAAATTCCCTTTCAAAATTAAGAGAATATACACTTCCTTTTCAACTATCTCTTATTTATTCATCAGTGCTTTCAACAAATGTTTATTAAGCATCTGCTATATGCCAGACACTGTTCTAGAACAAAGGATGCAACACTAAAAAAATAAATAAAAATCCCCATCCTCATGAAATTTATATTCTAGTGAAGAGAAAAAGACAACAAACAAGTATCTTATAATACTAGGTCCATATAACAATATGTCCTATAAATACACAACAGCAATTCCAATAGTGAAAAGCGGTATAAAGAGAAATAAAGCAAGGTAAAGGAATAAGACAGTAGCAAGAGACAGGTTAGGAGAGAAATATGGACAGGAAAGTAGTAGTTTTAAAGAGTTAGGTGAGTCCTTGCCGAGATTCACTTTGGGCAAAAATCAGACAGATAAGTGGATACCTAGTAAAGGATAAAAGACCTCATGCTTGATGTGCTTAAGGAACAGCAAGGAGGCCCATGTGTGGGGCAGAGTGAACAAGAGGGAGATGGTATAGAAAAGATATGGGGCAGTGAGGACTGTGTGGGGCTGGTTGGTCCTAAAGGGCAAGCAACAGTGCCCGAAGAATCCTAAATTGTGTACAAAATGACATTTAACTCCTATGCTCCAAATTCTCCTCTGCCCTGAGGGGATGGAGCACCTCAAGGGAAAAGACAGCTTCCAGAGCATGGTACTTAAAGGACACTCTGTCACTGAATCCTTGCCACATTCTGTCATACTATTATAATAGTCCTTACTTTAGGATTAAGAAATCAATTCAGAGATGCTATGTGCCATAGCCAACTTATATGTGTCAGAGTTTGGGTTTGAATCTAACAATCTCATTTTTTCCAAATTGCCCTTGACATTGCTGCCTGTCTGAAAAAATGTTTCAAAATCTGTGCACTTTACTATTAGGAAATTTTACCTCAAAGAAATAAACAAACAAATAACATGACCTACTTTTTCCACGCATTGCTCTGGGAGAATTTAACCAAAACCAAAACAGAAAAGAATACAGCAGCTGAGATCTTAGCTCTGGAATCATCACTGGACTCAGAATTAGAAGCCTCTGGGCCAGGTGTGGTGCCGCTTGCCTTGAGATCCCAGCACTCAGGCAGCTGAGGCAGGAGGATTGCCATGAGTTCAAGGCCAGCCTGGGCTACATAGTGAGTTCAAGGGCAGCCTGAACTACATAGTGAGACACTGTCTCAAAAAACAAAATGAAACAAAACAACAACAAAAATAGAAGCCTTTAACATTGGCCCCTTGAGGACTGTTATAAACCAACAAAAATTGAAAAATGTTCATCAGTGGGTAATTAAATTGGTTTAGCAATGTTACAAAAAACTAGAAAAGATTACAAAAATATTGTATGTTTATTGACACAGGAAGATAAATACCACATATTAAGTGGAAAAACAATGAGGTTAGATAACAGTATTTGTGGCTGATCTCATTTTGGAAAGACTAAGGGAAAAACAGCTCCTTCCCATACAAGATACCTGAAATGGATCTACATTTTCTCCCTCATCAGCCTCAGAATGTTCCAGATAATTCTAAAAAATTAAATATCAATTTAAGCTTCTGTGTATGTCATCAAATTCAAGCAAATCTACCACACTAAGCCAATTATTTTTAAATTGCTGCCTGATTGCTCCCTATGGATTTTCTCCCAGCAGCCCTCCAGAATTTAATTTTGTGCTGTTAATCAGGCACCCTGTCTGCATAGCCAAATTACTGATCTGAAAAGAAAGCAAAAATGAAGACCAAAGTCCTTCAGATAATACTTTTCATTAGTAATAATGTAACATCTATGGCAAGAAATGGTTTCCATTTCTTCTATTTTCAAATTCTCATCCATAGAGTGTTTCTTAAAAGTACTGTATTTCCAGATACTTTTATGTATTTAGTTGAGCATTTAAAATTACTTTTTGATTTTAAAAACATCACTTTACTCTCTTATGTCAATTTTTGTTTCGGGGTTGTTGTTTTTTTTTTGGCTGTACTGGGGCTCGAACTCAGGACCTTGCATTTGCAAGGCAGGTGCGGTGCCACTGAGCTAAATCCTGGCCCTCTTATGTCAATTTTTAATTTGGAATGCTCCTGGTAACCTAACTTAAATGTATTTATTTAGTTATTTATTTGCAGTACTGGGAATTGAATCTAGGGCCTTTGTACTGAGCTACATCACCAGCTCATTTTTTATTTTGAGATGAGGTCTAACTTAAGTTGCTAAATTGCCCAGGCTGGGCTCAATTTTATTTTGGTACCAGGGATCAAACTCAGGACCTTGTGCTTGCGAGGCAGGCAGAACCACTGAGCTAAATCCCCGGCCCTGGGCTCAAATTTGTAATGCTTCTGCCTCAGCCTCCGAGAGTGCTGGGATTACAGGCATGTGCCACTATGCCCAGTTAAATTTATTTACTTTAATAATTATATATTTTTAAAAAATGAATACAAATAGGGCTGGGATTTAGCTCAGTGATTATGCTGCCTGCCTCGTAAGCGCAAGGACCTGAGTTCGATCCCTGGTACCAAAACAAAACAAAAAAGAAAAAACGAATACAAATAAACCAGGCATACTGGCACATACTTATAATCTCAAGAATTCAGAAAGCTGAGTGGGACGATTACAAAGACCTGGAATAAAAGAAAGAATATGAACATCTTAATTATCATCTGGCCATATAAAACATTCTATATATTAAATATTAAATATATAATTAATATTCATTTTATAAAGGTAGATAAATGAAATTTTTGACATTCTGATTTGACGCTGCAATGAGGCTTATATAAAATTTTAAACTCACCTCCTCCTTGTATCCAGCCATTCTGTACTACTCGATGAAAAATTGACCCTTTGTAATGTAGCCTTATGCCTCTTTGGGAAAACCCTGCTTTTCCCGTACACAACGTCTGAAAATTTCTACATGTTTTGGGACATGTATCACAGTACAGCTACAAAATAAAGATGAAAGGTTTCAAAGATTAAATTTTAATATTTCAACAAGTATAGATGACTCCTAACTTATTAAAATAAAAACATCAAAATCCTCTTTTTAAAAAATCCTCTTACCTCAAAAATCAATCTTCCAATTGGAAAAAAATCGATACCAATGTCCAAGAACACAAAATCATGCTATTAAAATTAGGGAGAAAAAGATAATATGGGTCAATATCTCACAAGAAAGTTTTAGAACTTTTTTTTTCTAGTACCGGGAATCGAATTCAGGACCTTGCACTTACGAGGCAGGCGCAGTGCCACTGAGCTAAATTCCCAGCTCTAGTTTTAGAACTTTCAAGAAAGTTCTAGAAGTGACTAAAAATATGACAGATATTCTGTTTTTGGTGATTAGATTTGAACAGAATTACCAATTAATAATGTAATAGCAAAATTAAATGAATGATTTAAACGAGTATATTTCACCAAGTCTTTACAACCTACATTACATTAAGAATTTTTTTTCATTATATATTTTAAAAATCCTTCAGTAGTAAAGCTTTGAAGGTTGTTAATTTACCACACAGGAGTGAGAACACATGGTCTAGATGTCCACTCCCCACAAACTCAATGTAGAAAGGAACACTGGTCAATTCCTCTTGGGGAAATAGACTGGGAATTTCTACTTCTCTTTTCTGTCCTGAGTAGTTTTGGGAAAAGATCCACTGCGAGTGCCATGGCTTTTGGTATGCTGGATTTTTAGAGACAGCACAGATTAGTTAGCCAGAAACAGGCCACATCCTCTCTCAGTGGGAAAATAAGGCCGCGATAGCTATATGAAGTACAACACCAGGAGTAGGGAAGAGAAGGATACTGTGCTTTTAGCACATCTTCAATAATGCCCTTAATTCACAGATATGCCCAGCCCTTGTTTTTCACTTGCTATCCTTTCTGGCAGAGGTAGCCATTTGTAAACCCTTGTCTAGATCCAAAATGAAAACACTGGTTTTCACCACACTGGCACTCAGTTGGGGACCAGAGCACATGTCATGGAATGCACTTTAAGTCCTGGACACCATTCCCACATGTCCAAATGCCACCTTACTTAATGAGGTGCATAACTTGCTCTGCCCTCTTTTTTTTGGAGAAAGCAAGTCTAATTTAAAACACAGTCACTCTTTCCCTATCAGGGTGAACCATCTTCTGTCTGAATTTCCTCCATGCCTCAGTGCTGTCTGGCAGGTCCCATGGTGGAGTTCATCGCAAAAGAGGTCAACAGCAAATGGTATGATCTGTCTCCTTCGTGCAATATTGGTGGCTCCACCTGAATTCGGACATAACATCTGAATTCAGACATTAACATCCTCTGTCAAGATCAGTGTTCTGCAGGCAACCCGGCTTGCTGCAGTGAACTGCAATGATGGTCAGGCCAGCCTCCCTGTCCCCAGCGAGTCCCAGTGAGGAGGCTCGTTCCTGATGGTGAGGAAGGTTTCATTTGGGCAACCTTGCTCCATTCAAATTGGGCTGGTTTAAAGAGAAGAGTGTATTTTACTAGCACTGGAGTACTGGGTGGGCACTCCTGCTTTTTTTCTGAGGCACTGAGGACAGGTGGGCCAAGCACAGCAGGGAAGAGGTTTGGGAAGGAAACAGGCCAGGGCCACCAGCAAGGAGCTGGACATTTATGAGTGGATTCCTAAGTGATTCCCACGGCCTAGGGAAGCAAAAGCTCCCAAATCTTACAGCATCAGCGTTCTCACTCTCAGGTGCATGCAGGAGCTGCCAGCCAGGAGGAAGCTGCATGCACACCACACAAGGCAGGAATGGGTGTAGGCATGGGGAGGAGCCGGCCCACCCTCTGCACTCTCCCAAAGCTTCAGACAGCCCACCTCCACGCAAGTGTAAATGGGACCTTGAGCCTGCCCTAGACCTGAGCCAGGGACCTGCTGCAGAACTGGGACAGCCACTGGTGACTTCTGGCTCAGTGTGCCCTGCCCTCTTTCTTAAGGGTCTGGGAAACATAAACAATCTGACTTTAAATGTATCATGTCATTATTTTATATTATTCTAACCTTTCTTTAAATCAAAAGATTAAAATAATATTTGCTATCTGGCATCCAATAAGGAAGTATCACATCCATACTAATTATAATTAATCCGTTTGGGTCTTTTAGTTTCTGTACTACAAGTTTATAAAAAGAGACTATTATAACTGAACAACAGGAAGCATACTATAGTAAATCTCACAGCCATAGGAAGGAAAGGGGGCTGTACTGGAAATTGCAGTTGACTGAGGACACAGGTCCATCCAGACATGATGAACTTTCCCTGCACATCAACCGATTATTGTTACGGAGTTATCCAGAGTAGACAGTCCTGAAAGTGCTGATGAAGAGAGATCAAGCAAATGCACCACAAGGTAACATCACAGTCACTCGCTGCCAAACACACAACCGTACTTAGCTAGCATATGGTTCTAGCCTCCAAGTGAACAAGTCCCTGGGTTGGACTCTGCAAGCAAAGTCCATCTCAGGCTTTTCTCTAGAATCCAGGTCCCACATCCTTACCGCCACCGATGAATTCAAGCTTCTGTTATCCCTCACCCATGCCGCTACAGCAGCTTAGCAAGGGGCCACCCTGCTACCAGCCTGCTTTGGCACAGTACTAAATTCTTTTCCCAAAAACAATAAAGAGGATTATGTATCAGATTCTTTCTAAAAGGCCCTGTTGGCTTTATTTTCTTCTGGATAAAATCTAACTCTTTGGCTCAGAGTGAACAGTAAATCAGAATCCACTCTCAGCCTTTCTTTAGGATCTTTCGTAGTTTTCTCCTCCCTTCTTAACATTTGAATCCTCTTCCTTTTGGGATCTCCCATAGGGTCCTGCCAGCCACATTTTCTAGAACCTAAAGGGGCCAGATTCTCCTTTTCCCTCCCTGTGACAGCCAGGGTGCAGAATATGATGCAGGCTTGCCAGAGGCGCTCCTGCCCGGGGCCTTGGAGATCTAGGGAATAATGCAGAGACACAAGGAGAATTGAAAAGTTACTCTCATTGTGGCACAGTGGACTCTGGGCCAGCAGTACATCCTGCCACACATTCCTGTGGCCTGACTCTGGCCATGTTTTCCCACTGTCTGGCCTCCCTTGGTTCCCATCTGTTTTCCAAAGCTGGCTCTCCAGGTTTCCTGTCAATTGTGAGACGGCCAATATCGTTTCAATACATATCTTTTCTCCTTCAGTACTGTTGGCACCAAGAATCCTGAGCTGATTTTTCATTTTTACAGTCTCATTTATTTCCTGCTAATTCTGGCCTCCTTGCTGTCCCCTGACACTCCCAGAATATATTATGTACTTCTAAACTCCTGTCCCTTTGTGAATCAACTATGAACATTAAATTCTTCTCCATTCTCCAGAGTTTCTAGCATTTTCAAAATGCACTGTTTATTCAAACAAGCATTCACAGATCACCTACTATGTTTCATTTCCGTTCCTTGCCTTTGCTCAGATCCCAGAACTGGGTCATTCTATGGACACAGGACACCAAAGACACAGAACAACTTTTAGCAGGTGACAGATGTTGTTTCTGAGCAACATACTTTTACTTTGATTGCCATACAAACGTAGTGACTGTCTCAAAATCTGGTCTCAATCTTTTTTAAGGATCTTTTCTAGTTTTCTCCCTGTTTTTTACCATCTGAACACCCCCTAGACCTCATGTTTCTTACTATCCTCTGCCACTGAAAATTCCCATAGCGTGTCCCAGCCTGCTCTTGCCATCTATCTGACATGCTTTAAAATGTCCCCTTTCTTTCCAATCAAATTTTCTATTTCTCAGTGCATTAGTACTCAGGTGTTAAAACGTATTGATTTAAAATTGTCATACTACAGATTAATGAACACTGGGCTCAACCTGCTCTGGAGGGAGGTCTTTATATATTTTTTGTTTTGTTTTGTGTTCACCATGTTGCCCAGGTTGGCCTTGAACTCCTGGGCTAAAGCAATCCTCTTGCCCCAGCCTCCTGAGTAGCTGGGGCTATAGGTGCACACCAAGGAGTCTTTATATTTTAAAATGAATGATTCATACACACAAATTTCTAAAGGGGAATATAAACTATTTGAACAGGGATATTCTCCTTGTGCAGCCTACCTGGGGTGAGATATACTTGCTTTACACACTACCAACCAAACCTTGCTGTGCTATAATCTGAGGACTTACAACCTAATCTCCTACCTTTTCTACCCCTTTAGTTAGGATATAGAAAATTAATACTGAATCAGTAGAATTGATCAGTTTCCCCTATTATTTTTAAAAATCAGTGTAACTTGCCTTGGTGTCTCTTAAGAATTTAGTGGAATAATCCAAAGTAAGTGCCTCATATAGTGCAGTGGGCTTCACATCCACAACATCCCACACCTTCTGGGCCCATCTCTGTAGGTCAAGTGCATCCCCCAGGAGTTGGTCATTGAGGAAACACATCACATGGGAAGAATACTCCCAGATTTCACCCTTGAGTTCCTATAAAGGAAAAGGACCAAAAAAAAAAAAAAAAGGAAAAAAGTAAAAATAACAATTTGCTAAACCCATAAATCAGAGCTTGGGATAAACTCTAGGTCTGAATTTGTCAACTCTAGGGTTGATTTTTTTTTTTTTTTAATTTTTTTGGTACCAGGGATTGAACTCGGGTCCTTGCACTTACACAGCAGGCAGCAAAACCACTGAGCTAAATCCCTGGCCCTAGGGTTGAATATTTTTTAAATGTTTTTTTATTAACCTTCTTTCAGAATTCTGCTGTCAAAAAGAATTTAAGACTATTTTAGAGAGTCTAACATCATTGAAATACCAGAATGATTTAAAAAGCAATCTTAAAAAAGTTACAATCATAGAAGACAGATGGTAATCTGATAATAAAAAATCACTCTGTGCATAGCATACTTGTATTAACTTGCAAAGAAAACACAGTTCCTGTCTTTATTTATGAAGCACATTTTACTGCATGTATACGTTGAAGTGTCAGGGATTCCGGGTAAGAGATGGTTTTCTTTTTTTTTTTTTAAGAGATGGTTTTCAATGTAAAGGATTGAGAAGATTTTATTATATGTGTGCTTGTAGGGTCATATTTAGGGCATCTCCTCAAGGGCTAGCAGGGATTTCCAGAACAGTCAGGGGTAATGAGGAAGAAAACTCATCTTTAACACTTTAAGTCCCCTCAAAAATGAAGTTAGTAGGGCTGGGGATTTAGCTCAGTGGTTCTGCCACCTGCCTCAAAAGCGCAAGGTCCCCAGTTCGATCCCTGGTACCAAAAAAAAAAAAAATGAAGTTAGTATTTTCATCCATGCAATGCTGATGATCATCTCTTAAATCCCAGTGTGTGGACATGGAGCAAGGTCCCCTCTGAGGAGACCTGGTTTATTACTACTTGGTGCCACCATTCTCAGACCTCAGCGGGTAGTCAGAATCACAAAGTCCTGAGCCCACCAGACTTCCTACCACGGGATGGGGTCTAAGAATGTGCATTGCTAACAACCTCTCAGGAGATGGGGATGCTGCCGGCCTGGAGACCACACTTGGAGAAATACAAGTGAGGGGTACAGTCTGCATCCAATTTGTGACTTCCTCCATTCCCAGCTCCTCTCAGATTTAATATCCTGTTGTTTGCTTTCTGTGCCCTTCTCAAAACCTGCTTCCTGGCAGAGAATAAACTTGTTTGTGCTTAATCATAAACCACCGATAAATCCCAATGTGTCAATACTCCATGAAGTGGTCAAATTTATCAGTGCTATATTTCACAAGACCCCAATCTAAAAAGGAAAAAAAAAATGTAATTGTGGACACTTTAGTCAGCCTGATGGAAGAAATGGGAAGAGACATTATATTGAGGCGTGTCTCTGACTCTTCTATACATAAGGAGAACTCTTCTGCCTCAAGAAAACAGGCTGGACCAGATGGTTTCTAGGGCCTTCCATCACTGAGACCTATGAGGCTGTCTCTTTTGGAGGGGATAGAAAGTTCTTCCTAAATACCCTAAAGCCCTTCTCTTATGAGTGGCATTACATTCTGCAGAGGCACAAGCCCAGCCAGATCTAATGAACTAATTCACTGACACACAAGACACAAAAGCTTATGTTGAAGGACCAAAAAAATTGGCCTGAAAAGGGAGAAAAGGTTAAGTTGACAAATTTTCAGAGGATGAAGACAGAGATGAAAGAAAGGAAAGATAAAGAATGAAGAATAGGAAGCAAGAAGTAACAATGATTAATTAGAAGGTCTCATGCAGGATTCCTGAAAGGCAGGAGAAAGAGCACTCAAGACATCTCCAGGTAGCCCAGGCTTGCAGGGAGGAAAGTGGGGGGATCGAATCTACAGGAGTCTTTAAGAGGACAGTGGGAATATGCAAGAGGAGCCACTGCAATCCACAGACTATGAGATCATGGCTTTTCTGTAGGCAGAGAACACAAGACTGATAGGCAGTCATCATAAGCTTGATGATAACAATTTTAAAATGTATTGTTTTATGTTAGGTTAACCAATTGTCCCTGTTTGGCTAGGACTGTCCTAGTTTTAGCAATTAGCATAGTGCCTGGCATAAAATAAGCACCATATATTAAGTGTTTTCTATGGTTCTTTTTATTTTATTTTATTTTTCCTATGGTTCTTTTTAAATTCCTATGGAAATATTTATGGCTTTGAAAGTATGAGACTTAGCAAAGGGTATTCTTGACTCAGTTTTACACCATTCATGTGACTGAGTGAAATGGTTTCATAAAGCAATACCATATATATGTTACTTAATCACAGGGTCACAACACATCCTTGTGCAACCAACACTGAGGAATAAAAACTGTTCTGATCAGGGAAATGGAAATTTCATCAACCACTGGAGAGATGAGGTAGGGCAGAGAAATGACGACTAAGACTGCACCAGGAAAGACAAGCAAATGCCACTTTACTTCCTCTTTAGCACATGCTCCAGGCAGCAGTACCATCTGATCAGAGCAGTGCCCAGTAACAAACCTATCTACCATCCCAGGACATGCTGTGATAGCACTGAGCTCTGGGGTTTCCCAAAGGCACCGTTAGAGGGAGAACTGGGAGCAGGAAGCATCAACTGGGACAAGCTGCCCTGTAGGAGCCGTGTGACTATCACTAGAGCTCCTCGGGGAAACAGCCAACACAAACCCCTTGTGATCTCTGGGCTCTACACCACCCCTACTTCCCAGAGTAAAGGCCAGGTCACAGGAACCAGCCAGGGTGTCACAGGAAGAGTGACAGGCAGGGAGAGAGGGGTAACCTCAGCATGGGTAGACAGCACCACTGAGATTACCTTTATCACATGCTTTCCAAGGGAAAATTCTGGAAATATTTTGCAGTTTAAAAAAAAATCAGCCTGGGGCCAGGGATTTAACTCAGTGCTTTCGCCACCTGCTGTGCAAGCACAAGGACCTGAGTTCGATCCCCAGTACCAAAAAACAAAAAAAATCAGCCTGGTCAAATAACAGAACTAATTAAGGAAAAGTGTGATTGAGCCATGCCCTCCACCTAATACCAATCAGGGGATCCTGCCTTCTATTCTTCTGGAACTTCACGAGATCAAGTGAAGCCCTGCACCTGATACGAATCTTCTGGCATGAGCTCAAGCCGCAGCCCTCCAAGTGACACTTACCAAGTGAGAGCGAGAGATAGAGATGGGGGTTGCAGCTCAGTGGAGAGAGTGAGAGCGAGACTGGGGATGTAGCTGAGTGGGGATGTGGGGATGGAGGGATGGAAATCTCATTCCATTAAAATTATTGTATTTTCCCCCAAAAATCCATAAACAAAAAATTCAGGCAGATTTTGCTTGTTGTCAGCATGCCCCACACCCCAAATATCATTTACCCTTTTTTTCTCCTGTAGATACTGATCCCAGGAAAATTCTTGAAGAGGAATTATTATAGAATCTTCAAATTTTGATGGATAAGTATTCTTCAGACTCTAGGTTTCAAAATAAAACAATTAGTTGAGTACGTTCTCTTTTTGGGGTCTCCAGGGAGCCTTATGCAATACATACCCAGGCCACACAGTCTGAGATGCCACCTGCCTGGTCCCAGAGACCCCTCCAAGTCACACTGGGGCTCTGGCTTATTTGTCTCTAAGCTCCTGAGGGCAACGATTGCCTTCCTCTTCCTATAGTCCACCTCTCACTGCTTCTGATACATCGTGGACCACCCACATGTAGCAACTTAAATAAGTTTTTGTCAACAGTTTTGTGATCTGCTATGTTCTTCTGGACTTGCCTTTCCCTAAATTAAATTCCTGCTAAAGTTCAGTGGATCTAGGTGCCATACTTGTAGTGAAAATAAATAAATGCTATTGCTTTCATTCACTGATTTAAGGAAAATGAGCAAAAAGGATATTATAGTTATATTCCTTAGGAAGAAGAGAAGTAAATACTAAATAAGTTTAGGTTTAGAGTTAAGGTTTGGTATTGAGTGTTTTGGTTGAACATACATTGTTTCATTTGAATCAGAGAAAACTCTTACTTGTTAGAAATCCCTGTCAAAAAAATTTTTTTTTTGTTTCAGGATATTAGTTTCAATTTGCCTCCCTTGAAAAAGGAAGAGAAGGCAGCTGAAGCAGTAACAACTAGACCTGAGTTTTCTGAGTGGATATGAGAAACTAATGGGTCAACAGGGAAAGGTCAGCTGCTCCAACTGGTATCTTCGATGCCAAGAGATGGCTTGGAGGCCCTGTCATGGTCTGACATGGCACTGGCCGAGCACACTTCATCAGAAGTAAGCCTGTTGAGCACAAGCGAGCCAGGATGTGAATGTGTCCTGTTTTATGATGAGGGGTAGCAGAAGAAGGAGAAAGCAATTGGCCCATTTCCTTCCTAAACTACTGCACCCAACAAATATGGTGTGCGCTGTTTCTCTGGTTCCTGTGTGCTCAGTTTGACACAACTCTGCTGTTATTTCTGAGGAACTATCCGGAAAAACTAATAAGCCTAGCAGTTTTCAAATTAAGCACTTCCTATTTTCTTATAATTTAGTATTTGTTCTGGAATGAACTACAGTACATTCAAATTAAAATACCTGTAATACATACTTAACATTTACTGTTTACAGATCTAAATCTTTATCAGTGAATCAGGCATCTGGGATTGCTCACAAATGATCGTGTTGGGAATATGTTCAAATACTCTCTATTAAGATAGAACAAACTTTGATCTCCAGTACCACAAAAAAAAAAAAGAGAACAAACTGAATTTACATTGATATGTTTTCATATTAGAATAGAGTAACAGGGGAAATTATATTATTAATATATTAAAGATATTGTTTTCTTTTCTTTTTTTTTTTTTTTTTTTTTTTTTGGTACCAGGGATCGAACTCAGGTCCTTGCGCTTGCAAAGCAAGCAAAGGAACCACTGAGCTAAATCCCCGGCCCAAGATATTGTTTTCTTGGCCTAGTGTATTTTACTACACTTGATCTTAGCCAAAAGGCCGAGAAGCGATGGCCTAGTGTATTTTACAGCAGAGGTTGGCAAACTGTGGCCAGTGATTTTGCTTGTTTTATAAGGCCAAAAAGCCAAGGTTAATTTCTAGATTCTGTTTTGTTTTTGTGGTGTTGGGGATCAATTTCAGAGCCTTGTGCATGCTAGACAAGTGTTCTACCACTGAGCTACAGCCACAGACCTAATTTTTAGATTTTTATTAAATTATTGACAAAAAATTAAAAGATTAATATTTCATGTTATGTGAAGAATATATGCAAGTTGAAAATTAGTGTCTATAAAATAGTTTAATTGTAATACCACATTCATTGACATGTTTTTGGCTGCTTTTGCAATACAAGGATGAAGATGAATAGTTGTGACTTGAGTTCCTATGGCCCAGAAGATTATCTGCACTTCACAGAACAAAAAAAAAAATACCAACACTTTTCTTACAGTGTGGGGCAGGCAGAGAAAATGTGTCTTCAGAAAAGGAGACAAGAAAAACAAGGAAAAAAAAAAAATCTTGGGCCGGGGATTTAGCTCAGTGGTGCTGCGCCTGCCTCACAAGCTCAAGGTCCTGAGTTCAATCCCTGGTACCAAAAAAACCAAAATAAAACAACAAAATCTTAAATTTATTAAATACAACTTTTGTCATAAAACATTCTTGGTCCTATCTGCCCGGTCAACATAATCTCTGATTTCTACTTCTTTTGATGATCCCTGTATCATTTTAATGGACTTCTAAACACTTGTTTTTCAATCTTGACACAAATTTTACCTATTTTGTAAATTATTTTTCTCATTTCACATAGTTAAAAACTCTTCTTTTATTTTGTGGACCCTGGAGCAGGCAAGAAGGCAGGGATTTCTGAAGGGAACATTTTGTTGTGCAGTATCCAGCTGAGTACTTCGTAAGATACATGAATAAGGGATGACTATGTCTAGTGAGGCTCTGGAGAGAAGCCTGGCCTAGGCAGCATTTCTGGCCTAGGAGAAAACCCCAAAGATCAGCTGATTCTATATTTCAACATTTCATACATTGCTACTGTTCTCCTGCATTAGGGTTGAAGGTGTGCTGCAGCATTACAGACCTGGCCAAATTCTTCAGTTTCTTCGAGAGTTTTCCTTTTAAATCGTTCTGCATGTTTACAAAGAAATATGTGGATCTCAAAGCACTGGTGGGCTATTAAGAAATCTGTGAAACAGCTAATTCTGTTGAAATGCAATGACTACTAAAGAAAATTTAAAGTAAAGAACCTTCTCAAATGAATAGTTAGGGAAGGAGTTTGTAAAATCAGCCTGTTACACAGTAACATTTCCCTTCAATTTTTCATGACTTTTAAAAATCTATAATTCAATTTTAAAAATTAATGTGGAGCCAGGAGTGGTGGTGCACACCTGTAATCCCAGCACTTGGGAGGCTGAGGCAGGAGGTCTGCCAAGAGTTCGAGGTCAGCCTGACCTATAAAGTGAATTGAAGGCCCGTTTGAACTACATAGCAAGTACCTCAGACCTATCTTTTAAAAACCCAAATAATAGGCCGAGGGTTTAGCTCAGTGGTTCTGCCGCCTGCCTCGCAAGAGCAAGGACCCGAGTTCAGTCCCTGGTACAACCCCCCCCCCAAACCCCCAAATAATAATGGTTATGATGATGATGGTGTTGATAAGGAATGAAACGTTTGGACACACAGGGGTGGGAATTAACATTTTTCCCAGGATGGTTCTGAATGCTTCCTTCGCTCAGATCTCCTTTTCCTTTTTTTTTTTTTGGAACCGGGGATCGAACTTGAGACCTACCGCTTGCGAGGCAGGCGGCGAAACCACTGAGCTAAATCCCTGGCCCCAGATCTCCTTTTATAGGGTGCGCCTTTCTAAGTCAAAGCCTCTCCAGACCGGCACTTGTTCCCACACACTCCTCGGCGTGATCCAGCAGAGCCAGTCCATCCCTCCCCTTCTTTCCATAGAACAGCGACCCCTGACGACACCGAGGAACCAAGAATGCGGTCCTAGCTGCCCTAGCTGGGGGGCGACGGGGACAACACTCTTGGGGCTTCTCCGCGGTTACCTCGGCCATGATCTTCGCGATCTGAAAGCTGGAGCTTTTGAAGAGTCCCACCACCTTCACCTGCAGCGGCCGCTCGGGCGCCGACGGCGAGCTGCACGCGGCAAGTTGGGACAGGCACTGCTGAACGCCCGCCATCGAGACGCTCGGAGATCGCCCGGAGGCCAAACACAGCGTGTCGCCACGGCAACCGCGCGGCACCACCCCCAGCGCCCACAGGGGCGGGCGGCATGGGCGGGGCCTCTCTTCCCTGGTCGTCTGTTGCTAGAGAGCGGGGCGAGGGGCCTGTGAGGGTCTCGCGGGCGGCGGCGGCCAGGGGTGCGCTTCGGGCCGGAGAAAACGAGAGCGGCAGCTTGGGACCCCTCTTGGGACCTCCAGGGGCTTCGCGCGCCGCCCTCGTTGACCCGCGGCGCCGGAACTTTACAGCAGCTCTCCTTTCCGGGTTGGTGATCCGCCTGAGCTGGGCCAGCGAGCGCGCCGGGGTCCGGGTGACGCGGGGCAGCCCCACGCCGCAGCCGCCCGGACTTGGGCGGGGCGGAGCGCGGCCGGCCACCTGTGCGCACCGCCGGCCACCTGTGCGAGCCGCCTCCGCAGCGTGGCTGGGGAGGTCGACGGTCCGGTCCCTGAGCGCCATGAAGCCCAACTTCTCGCTCCAACTGAGGGTCTTCAACCTCAACTGCTGGTGAGTGCGCCCGCGGGTGCGGCCTGAGGGCTTCTTCCCTTCGCACCTGCACATCCAGAGGAAGGAGGCCGGCCTTCCTCCTGCCGGGCCACAACCCTATCCCGTCCTGTGATCTTGGGGTGCGGGGCGAGCCCCAACCGCCCCTTCCCACCTTGGCCCCAGCTCTGATGGTGCCAGCAGTCACCTCTCCTGGCCCTGCCCTTTTCCTTAGGGACATTCCCTACGTGAGCAAGCACCGGGCTGACCGCATTAAGCGCCTGGGAGACTTTCTGAACATGGAGAGCTTCGACCTGGCCCTCTTGGAGGAGGTGGGGTTGTGAGGCCCTGGTGGGGATCCCAGGCTGGGAGGAGGGCAGCAGGGCCCGCAGGAAGAGAGGCCAGGCGGACATCCTCACGCTTCCCTCAGGTGTGGAGTGAGCAGGACTTCCAATACCTGAGGCAGAAGCTGGTTGTGACATACCCAGCTGCACACTACTTCAGGAGGTGAGAAGCCTGCAGGCCTGAGCCTGTTTTCAACCAGGAGGCTCTTGGTCCTGCCAGCCCTTCCTATTCTGCCTGCACCCTTCCAATCCTCTGCTTGTGGGAGCAGGAGAGGCTGAACCAGGGAGGTCCTTTCTAGTCAACCCTTCCCAGCCTATTAGCAGGTGGCCCCTCATCCCCTGCAAAGGCTATTGTCTCTGTTTTGTTCTGGGGCTGGTCCCAGGAGTAGAAAGAGAAAAGCAGCTGATCTCAGCTGGAGAAAAGAGAGGAGCAGAGGGCTGGGAATTTCCCTCCTTGCTGTTCTGGTTATTAAGCAGGGCTTGGCTTTCAGCGGAATCATTGGCAGTGGCCTCTGTGTCTTCTCCAAACACCCAATCCAGGAAATCTGCCAGCACGTCTATACCCTCAATGGCTACCCCTACATGGTAAGCCTTCCCTCTTTCACCCTGTTAACACAAGGCAGAAGAGACAGCCCTCCTAGTGTTGCAGGGGTTGGGCAGGAAGGTGGCAGTGCCTTGAGTTCCTGATTCCTCCTCCCTGCAGATCCATCATGGTGACTGGTTCTGTGGGAAAGCTGTGGGGCTGCTGGTGCTCCATCTCAGTGGACTGGTGCTGAATGCTTACGTGACCCATGTGAGTGAAGCCAGCAGTGCCCAAAGGGACTGGATTCCTCTAGCTATGCTGCGTGAGGGTGAGGTGTGGGATCCAGATTTCCTAAGGTAGCAGCAGCCTGTCTCAGACACCATGGCAAGTGACTGATTCAGGCAAGCCCTGGGACCCTTAGTCCTCCTATCTGCTGTAATCTCATCTGTCTCACTCAGCTGCATGCTGAATACAGTCGACAGAAGGACATCTACCTAACACATCGTGTGGCCCAAGCTTGGGAACTGGCCCAGTTCATCCAGTGTGTGAGCCTGGGCTTGACAGGGGAAGTGGGATGGGACCCAGGACCTGAGGGGTGGCCAGGGCTCCACTTATATTGTAGAGGTGGAGAGGGGAGATTTCCTTTCTCACCATCCTGGCTCCCCTAGCCATACATCCAAGAAGGCAGATGTGGTTCTGTTGTGTGGGGACCTCAACATGCACCCAGGAGACCTGGGCTGCTGCCTGCTTAACGAGTACACAGGCCTACATGATGCCTACCTCAAGACCCAAGACTTCAAGGTGAGACCCTGCCTATTTCCTGCCCATGTCCCTAGCTTCTCACCCCTTTCCTGCCCCCAAGTCCTACTGCTAGCTGGCTGTGTTCCCTTAGGGCCCTGAAGAAGGCTACACCATGATAAAGCAGAACTGCTACGTCAGCCAGCAGGACCTGGGGCAATTTCCTTTTGGCATTCGAATTGACTATGTGCTTTACAAGGTCAGGATCATTCCCCCAACATGCCTTCACCCACTGTCTCTTTGTCAGCAGCCTATGCTGATCCCTCGTTCACCTAGTCTTGTCAGGCCACTGATGACTGAGAATGGAATGCTGGGAGGGCCTTCTGTGGACAGATGCCCTCCAGTGTAAGCTCTCTAGTACTCACTTTTCCTAGGTGGTTTCTGGGTTCTACATCTCCTGTAAGACGCTCAAGACCACTACTGGCCATCACCCTCACAGTGGCACTCCACTCTCTGATCATGAGGCCCTCATGACAACTTTGTGTATAAGGCATGGTCCCCCTGAGCAGGACCACAGCCCTTCCCACGGTGAGTCACCCTGCCCTCTTCCCTGACTCTTCCTCACCTCAAGGCAGCCCCTCCACTCTGACCTTGTCTTGCCCACTGCCCTTTCTTGTCTAGGACCAGCAGAGAAGTCATCACTGATCAGAGTGCTAAGGGACACCTGGATAGAGCTGGAGCTGGGCATAGCTCGAGCTCGCTGGTGGACTGCCTTCGCTGGCTATGTGGTTGGTCTGGGGCTGCTTCTCCTGGTGTTACTGTGTGTCCTGGTAGCAGGGGAAGGGGCCAGGGAAGTGGCCATACTGCTCTGGAGCCCCAGTGTAGGATTGGTGCTAGGGGCAGGCGCAGTCTCCCTCTTCCACATGCAGGAAGCCAATGGCTTATGTAGGGTCCAGGGTGAGCTCCAGCATGTGCTGGGAAAGGCAAAGGAGGCCCAGGACTTGGGCCCAGAGCCTCAGCTAGCCCCACTCCTGGCCCAGCAGGAGGAGGACAGAGCTGAGGAATAATAAAGCTTGACACTTCAGTGGTCTGCCTTCTTCCTTGTAGAGCCAGTAATAGAAGCCAAGGTTTAGTGTGACTCTTGCATTGATCAGCTTAGGGCTCCCACCTCCATGCAGCCTAAACCCTGTTTGTGACAGAAACATTTTTTATTGTAAACAATGAGGCCCCCTTCCAGGCAGCCCAAATGAGTCGGGGTGGCACTGTCCTGGCATGAGCCCATCTTCTTTGTAGGGAAGAAGGCAGGCAGCCCAGCCTCTTCTAGCCCAGGGCCCCTGTCCCTGAGGCCAGCTCATTGAGCCTGCACTCCTCCCGGAAGCGGATGAGGGCATCCCGCTGGTTCACTATATCCACCAGCTTCCTGAGGACCTGGTCCTCAGCCTGCCGATCCGCAGCTGTCTTCAGGGTTTCTAAAAGGAGAAGGCAAAGCTTAGAGAGCAGGGAGGCAGGAGAGGCTCAATCTAATCCCAGCCTGTGTGATTTCCATAACCAGGCTTTGTTTCCTAGCCTGCAATATGAGAAGACGTCCACACCAGGTAGGCACCATGCTGACCCCTAACTGTGCAGCTCTGATTGAAGGGAAAGGAGAATAGGGGCTGTGGAGTTACATCCGGTGGCTTTCTTCTGAACTGCCAAGTACATGGACTAGAAGACTGTTGCTTGGTCAGTATCCAAGGTCACAGGCATCCCACTTACCTTCTCGGTTCATGTAGCCCCGGAGCTCATGGTCCAGCTGCCACTGCTTCTCCTCTAGATCCAGTTCCTGTACTCTGTGGAGGTCAGGGATTGAAGAGGCACAGCTGTGAAGCGTGCTGGGGCCTGTCTCGTGCCACTGTCACCATCCCCCTGGCTTACGTGATCATGAGCTCTGCCTCCTCAGCTACCAGGCTGTTTTTCTTCTGGACCAGCTGCAGCAGCTGTTCTAACCACAGTTTCTTTTGCTGTTCCGGGGAACCTGACAGGAAGGAAGAGGAGTTAGGGGACAGGTCACAGGAGTATATTGGGGAACAGGCTTGGGGAAAAGAGGGTATTGTGGGTATGCGTGTCAGAGCTATGTAGTGTGGCCATGGGCCCTGCTGTGGACCAGAGCTTGGTGGGTCAGGGGATTGCTAATGGCTGAACAGGGGGGTGGGGGTGTCTTAGCTTGTCCCTTTCCTGTCTACTCACTGTTCTGGCTCCTCAAGGCCAGCTCCAGCTTCATGCCCTCAGCCTCCAGCTCCCTCAGCGCAACCTCAATCTCATTTAGTCGCCGCTGGATGGCCTGAGGGGTACAAGACAGGAGACCCTCGAGTCTTTGCTCCCTTGAGAACAGAGCACTAGAGGAGCTCTGATACACGGATCAAAAGTGTGACCCCTGTCAGAACATCTGACAACCCCAGAGCCTCACCTGGGCCTTGCAGAACCTCTTCATCTCCTCCTCCTTAGCATGGCGCAGCAGAGTCCGGCGCCATGTTGGGTATTTATTCATGGTCCTTGCGTTCTTAGCCAAGGTCAGCAGAGCCTGTGGGAGCGTTGGGCCAGTCAGGGATAGGGCCTGGCAATGAGTGGGGGAAGCTCTGTTTGGAGGGGCAGAAAAGTATCTAGGCTGGAAGTGGGATAAGTTCTGATAGGCAAGATGGAGGCTCAAAGGCATAAAAGTCATACTGGGTGAGAACTTTCCCAGAGGAAGGTGTGGGCTAAAGTTTCTCCTGTGGTGGGGGCGGACAATACCCAAGGGATAGATGCTGGCCACAGCCATGTAGGTGGCCAGATTCCTGCCAGTCACCTGCTCCAAGTCTGAGTCCAAAGGCTCGTCTTCCTCTTCTTCCTCTTCACTAGAGGAGGGACTCTTTTCCTCCTCCATGGCCTCAAAAACTGAACAGATAAGAGGGAGACACAACCTGGTATCCCCATGATCTCAAGGAGTCTTAGGACCCCCACCCTGTCCACAGCCTGGGTCAACACATCTGTGGGAAGAGTAGTTACCAGGCGGACTCTGGACTGGCACACCCCAGCCCACGAAGCTGCCCTCCAGGGCCTGGCGTGCCAAGGCCGAGCAGCTACGGGGAGGCTTCGGTGGAGGCTCCATTTCTGGGCTAGGGTTAATGTTGAGGGAAGACAGTCGCTGGCGTTCCAGGCTGGAGAGACGGATCAGCCGACGGGCAGGCTGGCTGGGGCATGGGATAGGACTGGCCTCCTTTGGGGCTGTGGGAGTCAAGGGGTCTGGTGGCACACTATTCTCATCTGGTAAAGGGAGTTCCTGGAAAAGCCACCACATGGTCTGGTTAGGGATCTGCCCAATGTGGGGATTGAGGCCAATATGGGCTCTGCTCTGGCATTCGTTCACTTAACACCATCTAGTGGATATTGTCCCAGGCAGTGTTCTGGATACTGGGTTACAGCATTAAGTGAAGCTAGACAAGTATCTCAGCCTTCAGGCAGTTTACTAATCCAGAGGAGTACAGCTTTCCTTTAGCCCCAGCAAAATGCTGCACTAGAGAGACCCCTTACCCTCCTTCCCATGCCTTAACACACCACTTTCACAGTCCTTACTGGGCTATCGGGGCCTCCATCCATGATATCCTCTTTGTGGCCTGTCTTGGGCAGGTGTTGGAGGCAGTAGAAATGTCCTGGGGAGCGGGGAGGGCGTGAAAGCATTTGTTACGGCAACCTAATGCCAGACGCTCAGTTTCTCCAGGAAGGGGGGTGCCACAGGACGATGGACTTACAGGTACATTTCTGGCAGCCCTGGTCTTTAGAACTAGGGTTTTAGAGGGGATAGAAGGCCCAGAATTCAGGAAGAAGGTGCCAGCTTGGGCCTGTTTCCACCTCATGTCCAGGACCCCTCTTTCTCTCCACCCTCAAGCTCCTTGCCCCCAGGCAGACCCATGCGCAAAATCCCTCCTACGCCTGCTCACCATCTCCTGGGTGCTGCCCATAGCCACCTGGCCACAATGTAGCCTCACAAGCATGGCAGTGGAAGCAGCTCCGGTGGAAGAAATGGCCATCTACACAGAAGCGTTCCAGGATGTAGAGGCGCTCCCCACAAAGGGCACACAGGTCCCTGGCACCAGCCTGCACCAATTCCTAGAACCAGAACCGAGGCCAGTTGCAGTTCTTCCCAAAAGCCCCTCATCCTTGCCTTTCCCAGGTCTCTGCTACAAGCAGTGCTCTCACCTTCTGCTGTTGGGATGGGGGTTTCAGGGGTACACTGGGCCCCAGTGCAGGTGGCTCCTCAGTACTTGGGGGGTCAGCCTCTACCTAAGAAGGTAAGTGCACAGCAGGCAGGGTCACCTGAGAGGATACTGCAAATCTACAGAAAGGGCTCGAAGAGAAGGGAGTGAGGACGGGGTAGGGGTGGCTGTAAGATCTGGGGTGGAGAGCAAGATAGGGAGCAAAACAGGGAAGAAGAGTAGAACTTGGGGAAGTAAACCATCTGCCCCTGCCTACACTTACCTCCAAGCGAGGCTTCTTGCCACCAGCATCCTCCCTGTTTTCCTGCAACAAGTCCTACAGCTGTGAGCACAAGGCTGTCAGCCTCAGCCTCCCCATCTCCCATTCTGAATGTCTGCCATCCCTCCATGGACCTCACTGGGTACCTCCCTCCCCTAGCCCCAACCCTGTCCAGACTGCACCTTGGCCCGGGTGCGTTGCAGTGTCCTCTGGAGTTTGCCAAGGAATAATACCGCACTGGAAGTCCCAGGAGAGGCCTGGCTGACCGGACCTGCAGGTCGGGTCTGGGTCAGTGTAGGAGGGCCATTCTCCAGCCCAAGCAGGCCTGCAGCAGGCACCTTCTCCCCTCTCATCCCCCAGTACCCAGTCCCACCCACCTACCCTTCAGGTCACCTGGGCTGCTGGGTGTGTTCTTGAAAGCACTGTGGAAGTGGCTGAGGTAGGCAATGAGACCCAGGGGGTCACTGCCTGTCACCACTGCTTGTGCAGACACCACTGGTGTGATGCCCAGCTCATGCTCAGCTACCTTCAGTGCCCAGGCAGTTGCTTCCAGAGCCCCCAAGCCCTGCAGCTCTGAGGGTTCCCTATAGGGTGTGAGGGAGAGAAGCCAATGGGAGGCAAGAACCTGGGTTCACTGAAGGGGAAAAGGGGCAGGGTGAGAGAAGCAGCAGGCAGGAACTGGGGGACCCAGTAGGAAGGCCAGGGCATGGTTTATTTGTTCTCTGCTCCCTCCCAATGACAAACCCTTCTGGCCTTGGAAGCCCCTGACCTACTCACAGTTCTTCCCCCTGCCTTTGATTCTGTCAAGACTTGGGGCAGGCAGAGTCAGGCGAGGATGCCCTCTCCACAGACATGAAGAGAGGTGGGTGGCGGGGGTGGGGCTAGGACTCTGGGTGTGCTGATTCTCCATAGTGCTGTCCCTACCATGAAGTAAGAGGAATGGCAGGGGCACACGAGAGGCAAAATCTCCAGGGGACCCCTGTACTGCTCCCTGACTCACAGCAGGCTGGGCTGCAGCCGGTGCACCAGGGCACACAAAGCAAGCCCATCGGCCCAGGAGGAAGACAAGTTGGTGACGTGGACTCCTGGGTACCCAGCCGTCTTTTCCTGGCACCAGCATAGCAGCTCCTCTTGGGTGCCTGCTGGCCCTGGGAAGCAAGGCTGTGCTGTGCCCAAGGCCGCCTCTGCCCCACCCCTGGCGTGTAGCCTAGTTGTTGGATATTTGAGCTAGCATCAGGGACCCACCCATCTGTTCTGGGGCATCAGCCTAATGCTCACAGCCAGAAGCACCTCCTTCATCTCCATTCTTTAAAAAATCCCTTTTGGCATAAGGTGAGGGAATGCATAAGGTAGAATGAAATCACTATTAGCCACACAGAAGGCAGAAGGCTATGAACAGGCTTGAAGGCTCAAATAAAGGCAGTTTTGAGTTTGCAAGGCCAGAAGTTGGCAGAACAGCTAATGCTAAGCCCCACTGCTGGTATGGTAGTTGATAACATACTGAAATACTTCCATAAAGTTGTGTCACTGCCCTTTCACTCCCCCAAGGCCCAACTGCCTCAGCAAACAATAAATGTTCCAGCAGGCTGAGTGTCT